TGTCGCTAATTGAGTAATGACTTATTCTAGTGATCATACATCAATAATCATCTGTCCATTTACTGAGATAGAAGACAAATACGTATTTAGAAGAATCAACTAACAATAAATCATAACTTAGCATTTTTCAATAACTTTTAATTTTGTTGCAGATTGTTTGACGTCTATTACACTATTTCCGTTATATGTTTTCGTCTATTGTTTTTCCCATCCTATAGCTCTGGGTCTGGTCAACCAATTCTTGTTTATCTATTACTTGAAACTTTCTTCAACATAATCTTTAATATACTATTTGGTTTTCTTTACTCGCTTCACAACTTCTGGCATTTTCCACCAATGCTTACTGTTTTCTTCTTTTTGTGTCTAACTGGTCTTCTTCATTTACTCCATCTCTTGTTTCCACTTAATTGAAGGCTTCAATCATTCTTGTTTCCATTTTCTGCATTATTTTCTTCTATTTCATTATATTCATTGCAAGTTGGTTGAATATTCCTTGTTTTTGTCCTCTGGTTCTTCCATTTAATTAGTTAAACTTTTTGATCACCTGCTAACCACTCTTTTTTTGTCTGTTGCATAGCAGCTGCAAGATTTGTAGATATTCCCTTGATGTCTTTTTTCTCCGTTTCAATACTCATACTTGTGATCTACCCGGAGAGAGTGCTTTGATGCATTGGAAAAAAATTTCTAGCAAGTAAAAGCGAAAACATTGCACCAAACTTCCGCAGTTTCTTTATTAGGATAAGGATTAGGATTTGGAAAAAAAAAATGATTGTATCATTCTAGGAAATGTGAAGCAAGATCTCTACAAGTAAGAGGGACCATGTCCTTTTTGCATCGAACTATCTGAAAACATGGAATTACCTTCCAACATGATGATGACCAAGCTGAGTTGTGAAATTGCTTAGATTATTCTCTTGTTTATGGTTTGTAGGATTTTCATGATTCTGCAAGAACAACACCACGCTTCATAATAACAAAAGGCTTTGAACTGAGTATATACAAAAAAAAAAATGGAAGAAGTCAAACTAACCGGGTTTCATGTGATATGTTCCATGGCGAATTTAAATTCCATATTCTCAGCACCCTCTATATATAATGCAGGTATTATAAGCAACAAAACAATTCAAATCTGATACTAAAAGAAGCCGAAACCGTTTGAATTGTAAGTTCGTCTCTCTTTGTATTCAATTGAGAATACCGAGATCAACTCGAATGAAAGTGAAGATCCTCTTAACTGCAATATATATGAACCAATAAATGACTAAAAGCTAACATGAACTGTCTCTTCTTCTGCTCATCTTGACATAAGATAAGATCTGATGTCTAGACTTTCAAAAACAAATTTCAGAAGTCAAATCTATAGATTAGGCAAATCGCCATGGTTTGGGACTTCACTAATGCACTTACTCTTGGGAAACCTACTAAACCTGCGTGCATTATGCTTGGGCTGGTCCTCACGGGTGAGATTGTGTAATAACCGTGAATGTGGTTGGAATATAGGCGGCTTATGCTGAGCCAGGTAGAGCCAAGAATATCATGAATTTTACCATCAACCTCCTCCTCCTTAGACGCCTCCTACCACCTGGAAAGTATACCATTCCAAGGATTAATTAAATATATAACTAATCCCCCACATCTAAACTGGTTCACTGCTATATATGATCGTTAATCCGAATAAACTAAACTGTTGCAAAATAAACCAAAAATACAACCATGTTTAAATTGATTCAGTTTTCTACAATAATGGAAACCAAATCCATCTCGAGTCCCAACTATGGAAACACTGAAAGTTATTTGAAAAGTAACGATATGTTAGATCAAAACTGCATATGATTCTTAATAAAATTATTTTTCCAAATGCAGTATTGAAAAGGTCCACTATGAAATATCAGCATAACTGTATCCAACCCAAAACACATGAATCAACATCTAAACCAGTCATCAAACCGACCATGTTTTGACATCAAAAGAGGTATGAATTGAAAATAGAAGACTTA